CAGGAATACATATATTTGCTCCAGCAATCCCCAATTGAATTTTCAGAGATCAAGGATGCATGAGGCAGGAGCCTTCACCACAAGCTGCATGCCATCTCATTATTAAAGGGGAAGAATGTACTAACAATTATGGTGTGATAACAGAACCACTCTGAATTTTAGTTCCCAGCCTATATCAGACAAGAAATATTTACATGCCATAAGAGGACAAATACATTACCCAATATCAAAACTATTCTGACATCTTACCGTAACTGCAATCCCTTGTTTGTTCGGGTGCCTCCAAGCTGGTAAACTTTTGCAGTTTCTACAACACCAGTTATTTCAGCGACCTGCACAATTGGAGAAAGATTTGGAAGAGAGAAGACCTTGAGCATTAACTTCATATAATTTTTTGGCCACACAGTATGTGCTTTACATCTTCCCTACTTGAGGCCAAGCTTATTCCAATTATTGTTCTGACTAGATGTCACAGACCAATTTAATGTTAACCTACATTGAAGGTTTCTTCCTGTTCTGAGGTACTGGAATTGTTGTTTCCTATAGGTTCATGTTCATTCTTTTACTACAAGCATCTCATTCCTGAAAAGACCTACTTGGGAAATTGTACCATCTCCAAAATATGTATGCACTTTTTACATTTCAATTTTGCTCCCATTATTAGGTGTAGCCTCTTTAATTTTCTAATATATTTTCAATTACCCATGCTGGTTGGAATTAAAGTAGCTTGTAGAGGGAGATAAAAACAACACAGTGTTGCACATCATATTAAACTCAACCACTCTATCACACCTGGGTTTTGACTGGAACTTTAGAGAATGCTCTTCTATTCCATCATACAGTCACTGCAGCAAACAAGCAGTGGAATGGCAATTTACTCTCCACAGGTGTTCTGGACATCATACACAAGAGAACAAAGATCTAAATCATCTCAATCTTCTCCGAGTACAGAAAACTAGAACTTGATGGCACTGCCCAGTGTTCATTAGGGCTGTGAGAAGCTTCGGTAGCCGATTCAATTTGGAGGAGATTCGGCCCAATTTGGGGACGAAATCTCCTAATCCAAATCGAACTGGGAGACCAAATAAAAGCTCCAAATCAATTCGGATGCTTCTAATCGATTTGGAAAAGCTTCGGAAAAAGATTCAGCCGATTCAGAGATTCGGCCATAGACTAAACAGCCAGCTGGTTAAGTCTGTTGGGGTTGTGGGGAGGGATTGGGGCTGGGACAAGCTGCCCAGCTGGGGCGGGTTGGAGGGGGACGGGCACAGCAGGGCTGGGAGTGGGGGCTCTTGTCCTGCTGCTGCTGGGAGTGGGGGCTCTGTCCTGCTGCTGCTTGCCCAGCTGGGAGGGGGTGGAGGGGAAGGCAGGCACAGCCCACTCCAGGCAGAAGGGGAAAGCAGCAGCAGGGCACAGCCCCCACTCCCAGTGCTACCATGCCTGCATCCTGCGCAGCAACAGGGCAGAGCCCCCGCTCCCAGGGCTGATACGGGTACAGCAGTGCAGGGAGCGGGAGCTATGCTGCAGAACCCCCACAGCTCCCTCCGCTATGGCAGAGGCAGGAACAGCTGTGGGAGCTATGGGAGAAAGCCCCATGCCTGCCCTGCCCAGCCCCAGGCACCCCCCTTTTTTTTTTTTTTGGACTCATGGCAGAGCTCCCCTGTGCAGCATGGGGCAGTGGGGACTGCCCCTCCCGCCTGGCACCTGTGCAGCAGCTGACCCATGGTGCAGATGCAGCGCAGCTCAGCAGGGTGCCGTGTGCTGCCTGGGAACTGGGGTGGCTCCAGCAGTCAGCCGGAGCCCAGCACCACTCAGCCCCAGCTCACATCCATGGGGCAGCTACCACGCTGGTGCCAGGTGGGGGGGCAATCCCTGCTGCCTCCCTCTGCACAGCAGGCTCTGCCACAAACCCTCAATTCCCACTGCCAGAGACAGTGGAGCGTGGGCTTTTTTTTTTTTTTCCTTTTTTTTTTTTGGTGTTGCCAGGATGCTGGGGCAAAGTGGGGCAGCCATTGAGGGTGGGGGCTCTGCCACATGGCTGCAGAACCCCCACAGCCAATGCCGGTGAGTGTGGCTTTTTAATTCCCGGACTGCTGGGGCCGGGCAGGGGGGCCATCAGAGCCAGGGCTCTGCCAGGAAGCCCCAGAGCTCCCACAGCCAGTCCCGTGAGCGCAGGGTTGGTTTTGTTCGTTTTCTTAAGTGCTGGAACTAGGCTGAGGCTAGGTGGGAGATGGGGCCAGGCAGGGAAGCCATCAGGGCTTCTCTCATGGTTCCCCCTGCCCGGGGAGGGGGAGAGGCAGAAACAGCCGGAGGAGCCACCTGCCTGTGTCTGGCCTGCCTTTCCCCAGCCAATCCGAATCACTGCATCAGCACTGAATCTTCCAAAGCTGATTCGGTCAAATAGATCCAGGACAGTGACCCGAATCGAATGACTGTCCTTCGGCCAAATCCGAAACCAAATAGTTGCATAGGCCTAGTGTTCATCAGGGAAAGCAGTTTGTGGTAAATCCTAAAGGCATCCACAGATTTACTATCAATTTTGAAGCAGAGAAATAAAAATCAGTGCTTCCTCAGCTACCCTTTCCTGAGGAGCACAGACGTAATGGAACTGTTTGTTAAAGAAGCTTAACATTTCTCTATTTCTCAAATGAATCAGGAAAACTTTTGGGTGTGACCTCAAGTTACAAGAAAGAGGAGCAAGATGTTTCTTACTGGGTCATACCAAGAACTCAAAACAATTTTTAACGCTGAAAAGACAAGATAAGACAATGCAACAGTTGGAAGAATAGGCTGTGCTATCAAGGTTGTTTTAGTATGGACTCAGCCACCCCTAATTTGACTGTTAATTAATTGGCAACCTGGTCTCAGGTTTTTGTGGGGTTTTTTTTAAATGTACCTTCTCCCTTACTCTGGCAGCAGCAAGACTCTGACCTACACTGAAAGGTTCTTTACTTAAATGAACAAAATACATATGGGCTCCTTCTCTAGAGGCAAACCAAACCATAGCTGTGAATGCTAGGATCTCAGCAATCACAAATCTCTAGAGGTTGGGAGCAGCCCAAACCCCAGAAGACAAACTCACCCGATAGACAGGTTTGCTGTTGTGGTTTCCAATGCCAATTCGCACAAAGCAGCCAGTAACGGTCTTGGCAAAGAAAGGCATGTGACACCAGCGTTCCAGCTTGTGCCGGGATAACCGTACCCTATTCAGTTCTTCAGGTAAGGATACGGGCTGGGATTTTGGAGGAATCTCTTCTTTCCTGGTTTTCAAAAGGAAAGACAGGAGAAAGAAGGGAAATAAAACCATTAGCACTACACACACACAAAGGGGTTTCAGCTGAGGTTAGTATTTGGTTTACATCAATTAAAATATCTATAAAAAGTGACTTAGTTCATCTTCTTAAAAGGCTGCGGTTTAGGCAGAATTAGTGTTTGTGGAAGATGCTTGCTGGAAAAAACAATGGAGAACAAAGATCAGAACAGATACAATAGGAGAGGTAGTTTCTGATGCTTCTTACCCACAGGTTATGTTCAAAGCAAAAGGATATCTTTCTCCATATTACTTTAATCCTTGGGCAGAGGTCACCAAACCACAAAAAAAAAAAAAAAAAAAGGTACTAATGACCTGGAAGGGATACAAACCAATGATCTAGGATTCTTATCCTGTCATTACTAGACTCCTAAACAAACCAATTCACATTCAACATTTTTACAATGCCAACATGGAACTTTTCCATATTAATAGGAGTTTGGGGCAGACAGGGGGGCATTCATCTAAGGCTGTTGTTCATCTAAAAGCCTTCATATATGCCAAGAGGCAGAGTCACATATCAGACAGGAATTTTTGGTTTGTATTTTAAGCACATTTGGGGAAGTGGCTTTTCTGTAAGCTTTTAACACTTACTCTTCCTCTTCATCAGATGAGGATGATCTGGATGAATGATCACTTTTCTCGCTAGACTTATCATCCTCTTCTTCCTCTTCATCATCCGAGTACACTTCACTGGTTTTTAATGGCTGTTTTTTTGCAAGCAACTCGGCTACAAGAGGAGAATTGAATTTCAGATTTACCTAGTTCATTTTTTGCATAATTTTAAAAGACAGTATAACCAGAAACCACGGGCCCACAAGCCGGAAACCATATAAGGCTACAGTTAGATCGACTCTGCCATTCTGTTGATCACTGTAAGTATAAAACACTTATCTTAAAACATTGTTCCCCATTCAGTCAGAAAGACATAAGAAGGTGACAATATACATAAGAATTGAGAGCTTATCACTGCCTTCCTAATTCTGCAAGAATGATAGCGCTCCTCAAAAAGGCTTAACACCTTGACCATTCTAGCTTTCACCCCTGTCGCAATTCAGACACTCCAAGCAGGTAGGAACCAATCACTTTTCAGCTGACTATAACATGAGCTGGGATTTCAGTCTACTCCCCAGCAAATACACAGTGCTATCACAAACTAATATTCCCATATGGTACCCTTGAAGAAACTCCCCACCCAAAAGACTAAGAAAAGTGAAAAAAAATGGAGGCTGTTTGCTATGATTCGCCACACTCAGAGTTGGAACACATTAACGTACTGGAAAAGAGATATGCATGGGAGAGAAGCAGCAAGAGTTATATGAACTTGCATTAGGTTTTTAAAACAGAAGCCCCAGCAACAAGTCTCCACTCACCTGTTCTGTTCTTCCTTTTCTCTCTCTCTGCTTTCAGTTCTTCCATGGCCTGAGATTTCTTGTCCAGTTTCTCATCCCGCTTTGATCGTCGCTCTTTATTGTGTGACATCACCTAAAACATGCACACAGAGAATGTTTCAATACCCAGCTGTAATTCACGGAAATAAGCTAAAGATATGGCTAGCCACTTTTATTAGCAACCATTTATATTTTTTATTCAAATACTTTCAATAAAAAAAAAAAAACAAAAAAACAAAAAACACTTTTTATGTGAAAACTGTTTTTGGAAAGTGTCAGATGGCCACTTCCACAGAGGAAAAATCATGACTGACTGACCAGACTAAGATAGTCTTACCTAGGTATAAAACCTTTCTATCACACCAGATACTAAGTGTTTTGTTTATGCTGGGGTGTCAAAGATGCAGGTGACAGGCCAGATCTGGCTCATGAAGTCCTAGGATCTGGCCCATGGGTCTTGGACCAACCTCATGTGCCACATGTGGCATAGCATATGTTAGCACCCAACTTCACAAAATGCATGTGGAGATGGTTTGGCATGTGCTGCAAGCAGCGCCTGTGCTGAATGAGTGCTATGCGGTGGTTCCAGGACCAGGTTGGGCCCACAGACCCTACCTGCGTGCCATAGCCAGCACATGGGACCAGTCTGGCACAGATGCTGCCTGTAATATGTGCCCTGAACCAGGGCTGTTGTGTGCTGCATGCGGATGAACTCACTGTATGCACTGCATGTGGCACAGGGGGCTAATCTGAGATGTATACTGCATGAGGCACCCTGCCAGACTGGCTTTGAGTGGTGGTTCTGGGGTATTTAAGAATTACTATATTTCGCACTATAATTTCTAAACAAAAGCTCCTTGGCAAAACTGAACATACATCAATTTTTATCTGCCTCTCAAGAGCCACTTACAAGGAAGGGCTTTCCTATCACAGTCTAATCTAAGAAACTACTATGTATACTGCCCGGTCCCTCCATTCAGCCAGGGTAGGACCAGGCCACACCCCCCTCTTTCCAGCGATATAAAGCTCCTATTTTTAACTTTGGTTCATAAGTAGACCTTAAATCTGTCACTGCTGCAAGACTGCATACTGTCCAACCTAGGGGGGTGTAAGCTTTTTGGCTGGTGGGCCAGATGGGTACCACCCATTCCTTCTGCAAGCCAGATCTAGTGGGGCCCCAGATAGAACACAGCTAGTCCAGCTGCATGGTGGAAGGGAGTGTGGGCCGGCCCCAACCTGGCTCCCCTGGAGGGATGGGGAGAGGGGTGTGACCTGGCTCTGCATGGGGGGGGGGCCACAGCCCCAATTTAGCCAGGTGAAGGGAAGGGGGCATGGGTTGGCCCCAAACCAGCCATGCAGGGGGAAAGGGTGTAGCCTAGATCCTTGGAAGGAAGAGGGTATAGCTTAGCCCCAACCTGACCGTGCAGAAGGAAGGGGGAATGGCCTTTCCCTAAGGGGAGAAGGGGGCGCAACCCAGCTCAGTGAAGGGAAAGGGGCATGGCTTGGCTCTGATCTGGCCATGCAGAGAGTGGGTCTTAGCCCAGTTCCACCCCACCAAGTGGGGCTTGAGATTTTGGCAGCAGGGACAGGAGGCAGTATTGCCCCACCCCCCTTAACCACCAAATTTCCCAACCCAGGGAAAGCCCCCAGGCCAGGTTCCAAGACTCTGCCTGCTGCACTTGGCCCGTGGGCTGGAGGTTGAGCACCCCAGTCCATACTTCAGAGAGCTGTTACTTTTTTATACAGGCAAAATATGAGGGCAGGGGGATGGGGGTAGAGGAGAAATCAAGCCTTAAAAAAAAAAAAGGAGAAGAACTGGCAGCTGTCTGAACCAGGTCAGAATTCCAGAATGTTAGCACTAGCCCCAAGGGGGGAAACGTACTTGGCCGGAGTCACATGAACGGCCAAAAGTGCAGAAAAATACAATCAAATGGCTCTGCCATCTAGCACCTGGATGCCAGCGTATATGTACTATATCGTACAGGGTGTTACTCAGGTAAGAGATGAGGCTATATAGGCAAAAAAAGTTCTATTCTTAACAATAATAAAAAGTCAATTTTCTTTTTTTTGTAGGAAAGAAACAAAAGAAAAACCTGAGAGAGGATTTTAGAATACTTCTCTCTGCAACCCAGAGGCAAGAAATGCCAACAATCGATGCAGGGATAATATTAATAATTTCCTGTACGCACAAATTATTGTACAGAACCCTGCACCCTGCTTTTGGCCCACATAGCACGTATGCATGCAATTTTAAGACTTGAAGGTGACGTTCTCATTAAATGTGAGCATCGCAGAGGCTGTTATTTTTTGAGAGCCTCAGAAAGCCACTGTGTTGCAGACCAGCTTACATCTCTACCAACTTCAAAGATTCTATCTACTCTATACCATTGAGGCACTAGGAACACATTAAAGAGCAAAAGTATTTTTCTACTCTTTTCAAAAATGGCTTAAGTGTTTGTGGTCAAATTCTCTTTAAAAAGTTCACTCCTGGCCTAAGAACAAGTGTGTAAAATTTCAGACAAACTTCTACATAAAGAAGTGCAAAAAAGAGTAATTCAGAAACAGAACAATTAAGCAATAATTAAAAAAACCTTATTAGAGTATCACAACAGATGCAGCCTGATTTGGTCTTCTCCCCTTTATATTTCATTGTGAATAGTTGCTTATACACGTGCACACACACACATTATTCATATATGGCAACTATTCACAATATACACCCACCCCTTTAAAATATTACCTGTTTGGTAGTGCATTTTTTTTTTAAAGTGATCTGAAAAAGGCTAAAAAGAACTAAGTTCCCCTTCCTCCCAACCTAAAGGCCATGTTGTTAGGGCATTTTTCGGAAGGATAGCAGGGATAGGAAGCGGCATTTATCTCTAGGATAAAAGGGCCACTAAATAGTGAGACTCTGTTGTGTACACTACCTGAGATTCCTGGATCTGTGTGAGCTTTTTTTTCTCCTGCTCTTCCTCTTGCTTTTTCTTTTTCTCTTTCTTCTCTTTCTTTTTTGCTGTTTTAAGTTTCTTCTTTATTTCAAATCTGGCATAAAGAGAGAAAATGAAGAAAGGAGGTAAATATGACTGAAAATTTTGTGACGCATACAAAAGAGGCAAGGTCACAACACCCAATTTTAAGACCATTAAAACTGATAAAGAGTGGAACTTTTATGACAGAAGTTGATCTTTTGATCTTGGAATCACTGAAATAGCAAATAAAGTTAAAGACTTCTGATAGGCGATCAAAACCTTACAGCTGAACTGCAGGAAATGTAGCAGAAGAGTACAGAAATCTAGTAAGAATCAGCAACTGAAAAACAGTTTGAGCTCTCTCTCAAATATACAAGATCCCACTTTTGCCTTTCCAAGAGTTTGCAACATTAAATGTTTGAATTTTCAAACTTATTTATTATATTACAAAATAGTGCCTGCATGCAATTAAGTTCTTGAGATAACTTAAGGCCCAAAGCACACAAACGTTTCTGCAGCACTATATACAAGCTTTGGTGTTCAACTCTCCAGTTTAAAGTATGCTTACAAAAGAACCAGAAAAAAGCATACATAAGTAAGTAATAATGATCTACATTTGCATTTCAAACTTGATTTCAGTGCTAAAACTCATGGTAAACACTGTAAAACAGCCAGAAAACAGGAAGCTATCCCACAACATTAATTAGTTTTCCAAAAAACTATTGTAAAGTTTCTGTTTAAATATATGGTAAGTTCAGAGTAGAAGCATGCAGACAAAAAGGAGACGTGTTCTGGAGCAGAGCAGCTGAGTCTGCAGTGGTGGGAAAAAAAAAAAAAGAGAGAGGAAAAAAGAAACCAAAGTTTGGTATATGTATGACCTCAACATTCTCTCACACAGCATCAACGCTGCAGAGAGGTTTCCCATCAATTTTAATGAATATCAATCTGAGGATACATTTTTTCCTAAAGAGAAACATCTAGATCTTCTTGTTCAGGTAAAGTCCTCTCCACTCTAGTTACATGCCAAAATGTTTGCAGGATTGGGTCCTTATCAAATCAGTACACTCACTGGAATAACTGTCGGAGAGGCTATGACATATGCTTAGTAATGCATTCTGAAGGAAACTAGCCAAGTAAATCCATCTTAAATTTCTTGAAAAGATGGGAGACAAGAACTTAATCCCAATCACACTGCTCAGTCTGAAATTCCCTGTCACCCACTGAGTCTTGAAAGGCCTCCTTCTTCAACAAGGATATCACTTGCTACCTATTAGCCACAGCTTCCAAGACACTATTAAGATTTCTGTTACTAGCTCGAGGTAGCATCTCCCAGCATCCCGCTTACAATGCATTGCATCTTGTCATAAGATGAAAGGTCAAGAAACTAAAAGAAGCAGCTGGTCACTGAACAGCTTAGGCTGGAAGGGGGTGGGGGGAGCAAAAGGAGAGGAAGAGATTACATAAGACTGGTTCCTCTGAATGACAGTCCACATGCACAATCCTGAGTGGGTACGTATGAGCCTTGTGCGCTTCAGCTTGGAGAATTTTGGCTAGCACCACTGTAGTATGCATATGAACTGCCTCTCAGTACAAAACTGAAGAGATAATGGATCATGTGTATTTCCCACACCAAGATCTTCTCAACTACCTCAACTCCAACTATGGTCGCCAACCCTCCTGGACTGGCCAGGAGTCTACTGGAATCAGCATCAATCTCCCGGTGACTATTGAAAGCAAGCTGTGAGATTTTAATAGGATATTTTAAGAAAAAGTCTCCCAGAATACCTTCAAGAAAAAAAATTCTCCCAAAATAGGGTTGCCAACTCTGACTGAAGCTATCTCCAACTGGAACTTTAAGTTGCCTACTCAACTGCGATCCTTCTCTATCCATTCAACAACTTTTGGGGTTTAGGCCTTCTGGCTAAATTTCTTTTGGTAGATAACTAGCTATAGTGTTCCTTTTATTGCCTGTTGGAAGATTTTGTTCATTCTTAAGAAAAAAACATTTTATATGTTTTGCACCTGTGATGGGACTATCTCTGCCTAGATCAATCTTTTGTATCAGAGACATACTCCATACAGCATTCTCTCAGCTCCCAGATGTGTAAAGACAGGGAAGCTGGACTATAGTTCTCTCTCCTGAGCTCTGGAGAGAAATGGCTCTGACCTCAGGTCCAGGAGCCCAAGACCCCTTTTGACTCTCTGCCAGGGAGACAAAGTGCCAGTGCAAGTTTTCTGCCTTAAAGGTTTTTATCAGCAACCATGTTGGGCAAGAATGAGAACTGGCAAGGGAGAAGCAAAGAGTTCAAGGGGTAAATCTCCAACTAAAGGATCCTCCATAAGGAAATCTGCACATCTCCTGCAAGACTTTGTGGTTCCCAGGCAAGTTCAGGTACACAAAACCCTCAAATTAAAGAGCTGGTGCCCACAGTATGGCAGAAACTATGCAGTCACACCAAGCGTCCACCTCCATCATCCTTCAACTTATCTGCAGCAAATCTGCTTGTTAAGGCATGCCCTCACTGGCACTCGGGTCTCTACATGATACGGCAGTGTGCCTCAATGAGGTCTCCTCCTCCCCTATAGCCTCCTTCCAGTCGACCACTTTAAGTGACAACAGGTAATAACTTAGTAAGCAGCACAGTAGCACCAGTCTGTATTACAGAAGCTAGAAAACATTGCTACTCTCCATTCTAATCTCTGACAGCAACAGAATCTTAACACTGTAGCAACCCCCACCCATTTCTCTCTTTTTATTTATTTATTTTAAAATGTATTCCCTCCCCTTCCCCTATCATTTCTGACTTTCTCTCTCCCTCCCTTTTCCCTATAGATAAAGTAAGCTAAAATGTAGGATAAGCTTTAAATATTTTTATTTTGGTAGCAAGTTCTTGGTTTTGGATATCCACTGTTGTACATTGTATATTAGGTTTGTATTGATTTTTACTGTTGTATATTGTATTATCATCATTTTCATATTGATTTTTATTGTTTCATATGGATATTGTATGGTTTAGGCCTGTGTTTGTAAGTAAACCAACGTCATGTCAAGTCTCCATCTTCTGTCCTCTGCCTGGGCATCCCATGTTGCAACTGTATGAGTCACGTACCCCTCCCATGTAACCTGGTTCCCCGATGAATGAGTGCGATTGGAAATAATTGAAATACAGTGGTAGCAGGCCGCTACTAAATGGCCTGCAATGACTGGGCCATCGCCTCGCATTGATTCACCCAGGAACCACGGACCTCCCCCAGGAACAGAGACAAGACCAGCATTTGAAAGACAAAGGACCCTGCAAAACCAGCAACTCTCACCATTGCAGACACCCAAAACTGCACATCCCTGCATGGAGCACACATGCTCAGTACACCAGGGGCTGACCCTTGCCTGGGCATGCCTCCTGTCACTAGGGTCACACAAGGTCTGCCCCTATAAAAAGGGGCAGTGAAGACAGACCCAGTGGGAACGCCATTTCCATCTGGACCAGACCAGGAGGGGTGCAAGGGAACCAATTTGGCATTGTGTCACCATCTCCCCTGTTCAATAAAACCACTGTCATTTGCAAACCCGAGCTGGGTCATGTTTTACTGAATCCCAGTCCCTTCCTTATCTTAAATTCCAGCCTCATTCTCTCTCTCTCTCAATTCCAGCTCCCACCCCTCTCCACTAGTTTCCCAATCTCCTCTCAATTCCTACTGCCTTTTCCCTGTGACTTTCTGCTGCCTTTCTCTGCTTTCCCGCTGCCTCTCAGTCTCTTTTGCTTCTTTTCCTGTAATTTTCTGCTGCCCCCCTGCTTCCCATACTCCTGCTGCCTCTCTCTCCTTTCCTGCTGCCCCTGCTGCCTTTCAGTCTCTCCTGCTGCTTTTTCTGTGATTTTCTGCTGTCCGTCTCTGTTTTCAGGCTTCTGCCCCCCCGCAGCTTCCCAGACTTTTCTAGCTGCCCCAGAGCCATCCTCTGGCTCCCCCACACCCAGAGCCCCTCTTTAACACCCACACTTTCCCTTAGTCCCACTTTTCCCTCTCCAGCACCTACCTTTTCAGCTCCCTGGTAGCTCTGGCTCCAGTCCCAGACTGTGCTGGCATGCTTCCCTGTTCTGCAGGCTTTGGGCCTGGTCTTTTAATTAATTAAGATCAATTAACTTAAAGTTACCCCTGAGCCTCAGTTCTTCAGCCCAGGCCCCTGTAGTCTATTGGTTCTAATCCCGGTCCTGGTAACTTTAACTCCTTACGCTTCTACTTTCTTACCTTAACCTTTCCCCAGGTATCTCAAGCACATGCATACATGCACATCACAACACCCAACTTAGAAACTCACCCGTGTGTATGTGTAGGTGGGGGGGTATGTGTGTAAATTAGCGAATACACATATATATGCACATATATAGATATCATTGTGTGTGTGTGTGGTATATGAATTAGTAATCCACGTATGTGTATTGGATGT